AAAATTCCTTTCCTCCCTAACTTCCATTCCTCCTTTCTAGTACTTATTAATGAATGCTTCTGTTATTGATAAAAAAAAAAAAAACATATTAGGTTTTGTGCATGGGGCATGGGAGGAAACATCAAAATGATGTTCTTGTATTTGGGAGGCATTCCCACTTTGTTCTCCACTTGCACATTTTCACTTAGAACATGTTTTATATGTTATGTTTATCATAAACATCATCATCTAGTCTTGTCCCAATTATATGGGGTCAGCTACATGAATCCTGTTTCACCATTCCATTCTGCTCAATGTCATATCCATTGTCAAATTATGGGCGCTTAAATCAATTCTTACTACTTTTACCCAGGTACTTTTCAGTCTGCCCCTAGCTCTTCTAGCCCCTTCAACTTGTAACAGATCACTTCCGACAGGTGTTGTTGATGGTCTTCTATGCACGTCATGAAACCACCTCAGTCTATGTTCTCTCATTTTCTCATCTATTAAAGTTGCTCCTAAGTTCCTTCATGACTTCATTTCTGGCCCTATCCACTCTAGTTTTACCACTCATCCATCTGATCATGTGCATTTCTGCCACTCTCATTTTCTGGACATATTGTTTCCAACTGCCCAACACTCTACTTCATAAAACATAGCTGGTCTTACAACTCAGTGTTTTAAAAGCACAAGGCACAAAAAAGGCGCAGGGGTCAATTTGCACCCGAGGAGAAAAGCGAGGCACGCACCTTTTTGAAGCAAGGAACAAAAATTAAAAAAAAAAAGGTAAAAATTCAAAAAAAAAATATTAAACATAATATTAATAAAAAAATATAAACTTTAACTTTTAAAGTAAATGTTTTAAAAAACCTATTATCTAAAATTAAAATACATAAACATAACATGTAAAGCATATTCAAATGAGAATTTAAAAATAAAAGCAAAGATATAAAACATTTTCAAACATGTAAAACCCACAAGCTTTTTTTCCTCAATTGCATTACTTCAAGTAGCTAATGTGATGTAAAGCATATTACATTCTTGATTCTACGAGTCGCCTTTGTGCCACGCCCCTCGAGGCAAGCCCAAACAAGTTCATGTTAGGGTCTTAAATTCTTAGTTCTCACACAAAAAATAATGATTTTATAATTTTAATTGCTTTTTAAGAAGATATTTTATTAGGATGAATGCGTGAACAACATTACCAAATAGGGGGTTCTACTCCGCTCCAACTTGTTTGGGCTTACCTCGAGGGGCGTGGCATAGGGGTCTAGGGGCATAGCCCCCGACCCAGCCGCTAGGTTCAAAAATAGCAAAAAGGCGTCAAATTTTCAAAAGGCACACGCCTAGGCGCACCAGGCATGCGCCTTTTGAAAGGGCTGCACCTAGGACCTAGGCAAGGCGCTACCCTAAAATGCACCTCGCCTGCACGCCTAGGCGCACCTTTTAAATCACTGTTACAACTGTTTTATAGAATTTTCCTTTAAGCCAAAGTGATTTTTGCCTATCACATAAACTCCATATGCACCCCTCCATTTTGCCCACCCTGCTCTAATTTTACGAGTGACAACCTCCTCAATCTCCGCTTTGTTATGCATTATTGAACCAAGGTACCAGAAGAGGTCACATCAAGCTATCTCTTCGTCTCCAATCCTAAGTGTATCCTGGTTTGCACTTCTATTATCATTAATTTTACATTGTATATATGTTCTATATGTTTATCAGTTTTGCATATTGTAGATTGAGCCAATAGGCTTTTTAAAATATTTAATTTCTTTTAAAATTCAAGTTTTCGTTTCTTTTAGAACTTACAGCTCCACCTGCACCTTGTACCTCGGGTGCTAAAAGGCTCTTTAATTTTCCTTTAGCCTTGCATTTTTAAAACACTAATATGATTGTTGTGGCCCCAACAACTACAATAGAGTCTCAAGACACATGACAAAAACACAGTTCAAGTGATTCTAAACAAGATCAAAGACGTAAATATTAGAGCTTTTGCCGGGAGGTTTTTCACAATAAGATTAATACCTGTGAGAATGTTCAAAAGAGGAGATGTATCCTCATGGTGTATCTCTCTACCCACATGTACCTCTTATCAAAAACAAGCAGGTGAAAGTACCTTCCACCTACAAATATCCCACAAATTTGACTCATCATTTTTCTCCCCCTAAGGAGGTGTTCTTTTTTTTGGATTTTGAGAGGGGGAAAAGTTAGTCAATGGGATTTTGGTTCCCATTGACCAAGAATCCCATGTTCATTTTTCAGACTTATGTGGGACCAGGTAAAGTTTATTTTCCTGGGTATCACTTACTCGGGTAAGTGACACCCATCTCCTAGGTGGGTAAATAACTTTCCCACCTAGGGGGAAAGTTGCTAACACTTGAATGGGACAAAAATGCCCCTTTTAATAATGGATTTTTATGGCTAAAATGGTCATTGCCTTATTTACCTGGAAAATAAAAGAGCATGGGTAAGTAACTTACCAAAAAGCGAACGGAGCCTAAAAGGATGGGCAAGATATTGTGGGGGTGCACAAGGACCGCAATCATTTGATGGGTTTGGGAGGAAAGAAATGGTGACTGAATCCTTGACTACTAGAGCTAACTGTTGGACTCACAAAAATGAATTTTGATTATTGCAGCCTATGGAACCCTAGCCAATCTTTATAAAAAATAAAAATAAATAAATAAATAAAAACTGATCAATCAGGTGTTGGTGAAGATTTTATAGATGACGCAGGGAATATCCTAGCCTTATTCTCAGAGCCAGCAGGGAAAGGTTATACTCAATGAGGGCAGAGCTTAGGGCTATATTAGGAGTAAAAAACGCCAAGGTCACAAACTACAGAAATTTTATATTAGGAGATTCTCATATTTTTACAGGGTGGCTGAAAAGAAATCAGCATGTAATTAGAGAGATAAGAAAAAGCATAAAGGAATTAATGGCTACTGTCACATGGGTGCAAAGATCTGCTAATGGATTGACAGATGTCTTAGCAAGACAGGGAGAATTAAGAAATTGTATGTAAGGGAGGGGGTAAAGGAGCTTAAATGTAGTGGTTAACTAAGGCCAACCACTTTGAGGGGCTATTTGGTGATGTATGAAATACTCTGTACTGCTATTCCACTTACAACCTCCTTATTCATACAACTCATTGTGATGACCTGCAGCAAAAGTTGCTTATAAAAGTAATGATAGGAACTATCAAGTTGAGTTTTGATGGCTGCAATTTAGGTAATCCAGGAAGCACACGTCTGGGAGGGGGTTCAGAGACAATCATGACACTATACTCACCATCCACTCCAGGGTAGGTTATGGCAACTCAACCAGGGCTAAGGTGTTTGCAGTATTACAATGATTAAGAATGGCATAATTCATCAAATATAATAATTCTTGTAGTGGAGGCCTGAGGGAAATTTAAAGTGGTTATGCGGTGGATTAAAAACAAGAAGCAATGTCCTTGTATTATAGGCACATTACGAAGGAGAATACAATTGGCTGGGAAATAGGACCATCTTACAGATAGGTACAGAGATTGGCCAATGATCTAACTGATGCCTTGGCTAGACAAGGGGTTCCTAGACATCAGTTGCATTGGGGCAGGTCTCCTATGGAGAATGAAAGCACTTTGAAAGATGGTGGTTGGTTGGTGTAGCTGGAGCTAGTCTGCCAAAAAAGATTTATTGGTTCAAGTTGCAAAAGTGTAATCTTTTCATTCTTTCATCTTAAATCAATAATTTTTCAGTTATTGATAAATGACAAATTCTAATCAGGGAATACATCAACAAGCAACATGGTATAAGCTAAAGTGGAGAGTCAGACCGGACAGGTGACTGATCCAGATGGTCCATATTAGATCGATAGTATGGATTAGCCAGATCTCTCCACATGGAAGAAATAGACTAGTTCATGTAAAGAAGCCTCCTACTTGTCCCAACCAGATAATGTTTATTTCCTTATCATATCCCACAGTTGTGTAATTTATAGAATATTGAATTTTTACAAGGGTATTCTTTTCACACTGTAGAACAACTTTAATAACAAATTTACTTTGTAAATATGTTTATTATATATAAAATTTAATGAAGTGTGGTCATGTGAGTCAATGTGTATCAAAATCCCAATACAAGTACATTCACACATGAAGAATGCATCACCATTATCATCATCATAATAATCCAAGATACATACATTAACACTATTTGGCAGATTATGCCTCAAATTAACATGTATATTGTTAGTGCGTAAATAAATTTTGCATATTCAAGAATTAAATAAGGTATTTGTACCAAAAAAGCATGATATAGGCATGTTAATGTCTCGGATTTCATAGTTGGCATGTTTTATTAATACATACAAGTCCCAGAACCTAAAGTTATACATATTAGACTATGGGGCTATTTGGTATTTTGGTAAGATATGCCTCCAATTAAAATGTCTAAAAGACAAAAATTAAGCAGTAGCAGGTTGCACCTACAATAACAGGATACCTACTACAGGTCTTAGCTTATAACCCAACATAAAGACAATGGACTTCTACCCATACTTACAAAGGGCATGTTTGGTACTGTGGTGTCAAAAAGTGTGGTGCACTCCAGGCTACTGGGCCCCATCATGACATGTTTGACATCGTACGCTCTGGAACACACCACACCCCTTGTGGCACTCTGTACTGTGGTGGTGTGGTGTGGTCCAAGACATTGGGATTTAAAAATTAGTTTTTTATACTAAATCAATGTTTGCAATTGAAAAGAAGTGTGGTGCATTCTGAAACATGAAAAAGAAGTGTTTTCCGAAATTCACGATATTCTGCATTTTTGAACCAGCTACATCTCATTCCAAAACACATCACATCCTCCAAGAATGTGTGGCCTCCATGGTGCATTTTGAAACTGGATGGAATAAGCTTTTAACCAAACACCCCCTAAATCTCTAATAAGCCAGCTTTAAGTTGATTACTAACTATCCAAGGCTCAGTTTAATCAAAACAAAATAACACAAAATAAACGAAGAAAACTAACCACATAATATATGGCAAAATTGTCCTTGTCCTCCATGTAACTAGACCTCAGTTTAAAACGAATCATATAAATGACCCACAGGGTTGTCCCCAGCGTAGCTGAATCAAGGACTGTATGCATATCATATTCCATAACAAAACTGCAGTACAGTCTAACAGCTAAGAATATAGCTGTTAGTTCCTGAGACTTGAGTGAAAGTCCTGCAATGAGTTCAAGGTAAAACAAGCAAAATGAAGCCAAAAACTGTGATAAAAATGGGAGATGAACTAATACAGAGTTCATAATAGGTGGCATAAGAAAAGAGAGGGTGCAGCGTAACAAAAAAGCATTCTAAAATTAAAGAACCAAAGGACATAAATGCAATTACCAAAAGTTGATCACAAAATAATAGGATAGCAGAAAAGAATGTAATCAGATTTTGTTCCTTGATCAGCACTATTCTGAACTAGAAATTTTTTTTTTATTGTTTAAGATTAAAAAAAATAGAGATGAAACAATCTAAAGCTTTTAAAGACTTCATACTTGGTCCTTTACTATCCTCTATATCAATTCTTCTCTATGACCCTAGATTCTTGAATCAGAATCAAAAATCATACTTCTAAACTGGATCAATTTACTGAAACACTAGTTACCTTCATTTCCATAGCCAAAAACTCCAATTTCCTTACCTCGTCATCTTAAACACCAGAGTTGAATTATTTTTTGGGCTTACCATTTATCACACATTCACACTGCTTAAGCTACATCATGTTTTACCAAGGTGTTGACGTGGGGATGAAACATAATCTATAACCAGCTTATGAGAGATGGTAATGTCGAAAAGATTTATATACCCCACTAACTCTAAACTCTATACCCTTTAGATGACAGAAACACCAACTCTTTCAGAAGATAAAAATTACAAGAAAAGTTTGATGGAGATTCAACTATTTACATTACATGTCCAAACTCAGGTGGAGGACTTTTAAGTGGAAGAAGCTCCACCAACTTGGGAAAGAATCATAGAATTCTCTGCCTTCACCCTCCAGTCCAACCCGCCCCACCAAAGTTTGCCAAAGCACAAGAGAGTAGACAAAAGACAAAAGACAAAAGAAAGAAAAAAAAGGGCAATTTCCAATGCATTAATGATAGACAGATAATTTACAGGAATCCTTGAAAACCACTTTCACAGGCATGTGATCTTCATGACAGGATAACACCCCATTTTGATACCGATTACAACCAACACAGACAAAGACACCATTTCATGATCCTTGCAAGAGGGCTCCAACTACAAACAATTGAGCCCTCACGTATCATTATTCATTATTGCTAAGTTTTGTTCTAAGAAAGAGAAATAAGATGCTCACATGTATCTGCCTGGTTTCATGAAATAGACAGGTAAATCTTATGCAATGTGTTTTCTGCGTATTTATATTCCACTATCAAGTTTAGAACAGAATAAAAGATGCCAATATCAGAACCTTAAATACGATGCTGGCCAATAAGCCAGTGGAATTTGTGTGTTGCTCATGCTCATTGCACCACATCTATGCTGCAAAAGCGACACCCAAATACCAACAAGATTACCAATCATTAAGATGACATAGGAAGAATGACGGAAATGGAAGCTGAGCTTTACCACTACAATCCCAATTTATTAGATCTCAGAACCCTGAACAAATGGCATTGGCTTATGTCTAAAACTCCCCGACCCAACGGAGGGATTAGACACAGAAAATCAGGAAAAGTACAAGGACAATTAGTCATTCTTTGAGATAACATTTAAGGGAAAAAATCCCCCAACAAAAAAAAAAACATGATTATTTTCTTTATAAAAAAATCGGCATATAATAAATCAGCAACTATAATGTATGAATACCCCCAATTCACCATTCTCTTTCACATATCCCGAGGTACAATTTTACGCTAAAAAAAACTGTCCTTCCCACGAATGATCTAATCTACAGAAACCAAAAACTACAAATCAACAGCCATAAATCAAAACATGGCCGATGAAACAGAAAAGAAATCATCCACTAAGCTGAACGGAAACAGGAAAAAGGAAATTGAAAAAAGAAAAGAAAAAGACGGGAACCCTAGAAATCGTACCAGCACAAGTCCTCTCTTTGGTAAGCTTGTAGATGAGCACAGAGATTCCGATAGCGTGAACGGCTTCGGCCGCAATGAAGAGGTTATCGTGATCGTGAACAATAAAGCGGAGTAAAACAAGAGCAGCCATGCCAGAGACAACGGCGAGGAAAGCCTTCACCTTCGGTGGCTGACGCTTCACCCATGTCGCCACGGCGTGGATTGGTCTCTTCGGTCCCTTCATTCCGGTCAGCTCTAGTTTTTGGCACGGCTGCGAAGCTTAAGCCCTCTGAGAGGGTACGTCGCAACTCGTAAGCGGGAAAAAAGGAGTAAAAAGAAACAAAAGAAAAGAAATAGGGAAGAAGAGATCGATCAGAGAAGGTCGTAGGTCAATGCACTAGTCGCCCAATATAACAAATAATCAAAAGCGTTTCCGTGGGAAGAAAGGGTGAGAATTAATGGCGAAGCCTGAGATTTGAAGGTCCCCCTCTCTGGCTGGCTGCCTTCCTGCCGTGTGCGCTTTGGCTTATTAGTGGGGCCTTTTGGGGTGTTTGGAAGGAGTGGGTGGTCAGAAGTGTAGTTAGGGTAGGTTTCGGGTATCGGCCGATATATCATCCGGTTCGGCTGGTAAGCTAGCTACCATCGAACGAACTCAACGAAGGGCCCCACATTGATTGGGCCTGGGCCTGTGCTTGGGCTTCGCCAAGTACAGATTACAGAGATTCCATTATATTAATGATGACGTATATCAGATCAGACGATCACATTAACAAACCAACGTGGGGACTGGGGAAGGATGATTTTATTCCAAAGAAGCAAAACAATATTGACTTTTGGTCCACTTGGACTTTTGGTCTTTTGGTATCATGGTCTTCTTGGGCTGGACTGGGTTTACAAATAAAAGTTATACAAAATTGGGCTTTTTGATCTACTTGGACTTTCGGATCTGTTTTATGGTTCGTATGAAAAAATGACGTGGCATCTATACTCAATTAAAGAGTAAAGGCCCTCTTTCCTTTTTTTCTGGTTAAGAACCAAGAATAGAAAAATTTGAGAAACCAATACCTCTTTTGTTTAATTAGCAATATATAGAGAGATATAGATATAGATAGATATATACTAAAATAAAATGATGTCACGTCATGGCCTAAGCTTTCTCCATTATCCCAATAAAGCCCCTCTCATTTCAGCCTTCCTTGCGAGTTGAAATCAGCCTCCCCACAACATCCCACAGCACATTCCCGTCGTGTATTGGAAACATCTGCTGATGATGCCTTATCATTTCTGGTACTTATCATCAGGAGATGTTTCTAGTACACGGCAGGGATATGCTACCGGATGTCGTGGGAAACTATCTTGTGGGGGGCTGATTTGAACTCTTTCCTTGCTCCCTCATGAAGCCACCTCATAACTCCCTTCTCCCTCTCTCTTAATGACACTTCATCATGCCTGGCCCATCCGTGTTTCCTCTATGTTTATCCCTTTGGATATTCCTTCCTAAAACTATTCTTTAAATCTCTATCTATCAAAATCTAATCTCATCTAGCTAAGTGTGGCACAATTATCCTTCACTTTCTCCTAAATTATCTATAATCTATATATATATATATATATATATATATATTTTAAAATCGGTCTGTCCATGTCAACATGTCTCTCCTTTTAGATAAGTTATTTATCTATTTTCTCCTTTTTTTTTGAATTTTTCATTTTTTTAATTTCATGTCATTATTGAAACAACCAATGAGATGCACTTTCCCAATAACCTAAATAATCTCTTCACCTACAATTTCTCCAAAAATACCTCCCCCACAATTCCTCACTTTATCCAAAATTATCTCTAATTCCTATTTATCTTCTAAATTATCTCTAATTCCTATTTATCTCCAAAATTATCTCTAATTTAGTAGGGAGTTTCTCTCCTAAATTATCTCTAATCCCTATTTATCCTCTCCCCTACTTTTTATCTATATCTATCTAAAGAAAATTTGGATTAAAAATTTTAAAAAATATTTAAATATTATAATAAAATTATAAAATAACTTTAAAATATTTATTAAAAACACAAAAAATAATTTTATATTTTTACAAAATATATCACGAAATTATGTACTAAAAATTTAAATTATGCTTTTCCATACTATCAATTTAATTTTTTTAAATATTTAATAATATGTAATAGATTTAAATAAATAAAATTCAAATAAAAATTTTAAATATTTTATAGATTATTTAAATATTTAAATAACTAAATATTTATCATAACTAGATTTTAAATAGTTAAAATAATGAAATTGTGTAATAAATTTTAAAAAAATCCTCAAAGTAGAAAAGTAATTATAAAATAATATTTAAATTAATAATAATTTAATATATTACAAAATTAATAATGAAATTATGTAATAATAGTATAAATTATGATTTTATGGATAATTAAATTCAATAAATAATTAATATTTTAAAATTTAAATATTTTATATATTATTTAAGTATTTAAATAACTAAATATTTTAAATAACAAAATATATAACATTTTAAATAGTTAAAATAAAGAAATTATGTAATAAATTTAAAAAAAATCTAAAAGATAGAAAAATAATTATAGCATAATATTGAAATTAATAATAATTTAATATTTTTTCATAATATTGTAAATAATTAACTTCACTTATATCAAGTAACAATTCGAGAAAATAACTATCAAAAAATAATATTTATTAATAATAATTTTACTCTTAATTTGTATTTATTATATAATTATATATACTAAAATTAATATTTATTGTCTTTTGTGATAAATGTATTTTCAACGATTATGTTTAAACCCAAGTTGGTAGGGTTGGGTTTAGAACCCCCATCTAATTTCCTTTTATTTGTCACACATAAGTAATAAATAAGAAAAATAACACAAATAACAACAAAGTTTCCAATTATTTGATTAAGGCGTGTAAAAAACACATAAACTATCAATTGTCCTTCATGTAAAATTTAAAATATTACTAAATTCAAGACTTAGTACATAAAGTTTATATGCTTTTCCAACAATATGTAGGTCAAGGAGGGTCGGGTTTAGACTAACATGTACCCGTATAGGTTGTAGAATCTCAAAACCCATCCCTGCCCCAAAACCCATTCTTAAAGCAAAAAAACCTGACCCATCGCCGTCGTCGAGGAGCGCAGGGGCAGGTACCCACCGGGTAGGGTAGAAATTGACATCCCTTGTTTAAATGTTGCATTCACTTGTCACTATATCAAAGTATGAATTGTCATCCCTAATTATTAAAAAAACTGTAATTATTTAAATGAAGTTAAATGTAATTTTTTAAAAATAACTACTGTTAATTATAAAATAACCATATGTTGATTTTTTTAATTATAAAATAATTATTGTTAATTACATATTTTCATATTTTCAGAAACATAGTTACATTGCTTTTGGTTTTTTTTTTGAAAATACTGTTATTTAATAAATACATTATTTTTACATAAATATTGTAATTAACAAAATACTGTATTTATTGAAAATATTGTTAATTAAGTAATATTGTATTTTTAAAATAATGTTAATCATTAAATACATTATATTTAATAAATATGCTAATTAATAAATACTGTTAATTATTAAAAATACTGTAATTGCTTAAATGTAATTTTTTTTAAAATAATTACAGTTAATTATAAAATTACCATATTTTATTTTTTTAATTATATAAATAATTATTTTTAATTATACAAAACAAGTACTGTTAATTTTGTGATAATTACTGATAATTATAATTAAATAGTGTATATTAAATACTGTATTCAATACTATTAATTAATAGATACAATATTTTGTAGAATAATGTTAATTATTAAAAATTATGAAAATATTGTCAATTATAAAAAATAATTAATATTAATTTTCTAATAATTACTGTTAATTACAGTTTATTTTCGTTACTTTCCTTGTGGCTTTTTATTGCAAATACTGTTATTTAATAAATACATTTTTATTAATTACTGTTAATTAATAAATACTTTATTTTTAATAAATACAGTAATTATTAATACTTGTAATTAATAAATACTGTATTTATTAAAATACTGTAATTGTTTAAATGTCATTAACTGAAATTTTTAAAAAATAATTACTGTTAATTAGAATTACTTTTAAATACAGTTGATTTTTGTAATTTTGAAAATACTGTTATTTAATAAATACATTATTTTGAAATAAATGCTGTAATTAACAAAATTTTGTTTTTGTTGAAAATACTTTTAATTTAATTAAATACTGTAATTAATACTATTAATTAATAAATACTGTTTTTTAAATTGTAAATTATTAATTATGAAAACATTGTAATTATTAAATTACTGTTAATTAATAAATACGTTATTTTTATTAAATACTGTAATTATTATTACTTGTAATTAGTAAATACTATATTTATTAAAATACTGTTAACTATTAAAAATATTGTCATTATTTAAATGTAATTAGATGTAATTTTTTAAAAATAATTACTGTTAAATACAGTTGACTTTTGTATTTTTCTGCTAATAACTGTAATTAATTATTGTTTTTTAATTGATTGCTATTAATGAATTAATTTGCACTACTAAATAGTGTAATTAAATGAATTAATTTGCACTAATGATTACTATTAATGAATTAATTTTGTGATAATTACTGATGAATTAATACTATATTTATTAAAATATTGTTAATTATTAAAAATACTATAAATATTTAAATGTAATTAAAAGTAATAGTGTAATTAAATGAATTAATTTGCACTGATGATTATTATAATTAATTATTGTTTTTTAATTAATTACTATTAATGAATTAATTATACTGTATGATTCATGGTTGGTGCGAATCGTCCGCAACACGGTTTGGGTTTGGACATACCCGTTATACTATCGAAAATGGGCGCAAAAACCCGTTTTTGTTGTCTTTTTCGCTCGATTGTTGAAATGGGTTCTGCGATGACCCGGTTATTTATTTTTCATTTTTTTATTGCTTTTTTTTTGTTGTTTTCTCTACTATTTTGTTATTAATGAATCGATTTTACTTTTTTTAGTTATTTTTCAACATTTTGTAAAACAAAAGTAGAGAAATGAAGGAGAAATGAAATTTGTTATTGTTCAACATTTCAGCATAAAAAAAAAACTTAAAAATGCACCCAATATTGCAAAAAAAACGCCTAATCAAATCAGTTTTTCACAAAAAAAAAAAACCTAATACGAACCTAGTCTAGACAAGCAAATTGGAAAATGCAAAATAATGCTAAGACGCTTCTTTGAAGCTAAATCACATCTACTCAAGTAAAGTCGAACACGAGTAAAGTCAAACTGAAGAGAAACAATGAATAGATGAGAAAATGAAAGTTTTACAGAAATTAAAGTTTTCGGAAGTTTCAAGAAAAAAAAAATGAAACAAACCAAATCCAAACTGTCCTTAGAGGAGAGTGTAGAAAGCAAACATTTCAGCACAAACGAAAGCAAGAAAAGAGAAAACATGCATGGGAGTCCAAGGGTTTTAAACT